GATTTTGTCCCATTTTGACCAGATAACTAAACCATTTGATTCTTTGATGTTCTATGAAATCGGCGTCCTTTCTTTTCAAAATCCGATAGTCCGGTGATCTTCACATTGTGTTTTTGTGAAATGTATAATTTCTATTTCTTTTTGACTTAAACATGCAGCCCAATGCCAGTGTTTGAAACCGGGCGGTTCCCGAGGTTCACCCAGCCTCTAGGAAATGGGTACCAGAGTTAACACTCTGGGGTAAATGCAGGAACGTCGCTGTAGCTATGGAGTTGCTTGCGGACGGCGACACAGGCGGACAGTTTCCTATCAGCTGTCCGTATTGGTGGCGGAGCACTTATGGTTCATAACCGTGTGCGATGACGCTGGTTCACATCTCCCGACTGTAACTTTTTTTTAAACCTAAACCATAGATATCTAATATGGCCATTGTGTATGTCGGTATAAATCTTGTATCCTGATTGTTACTTAGACTGGATTTGCATTTTTCCATCTTCTTATCTTCAGCATATGCGTTTTAACAATTAAATCCTTTAACGGCCCACGGGCCGGTCCTCAGCAACCTGTTTTACAACACAATTAGGACAAAAGTTGTGAATTATACACACTGATACTAAGACTTTTCATGAATATGAAAATTATCGTGACGACTGGAAAGATTACTTGCAGAAAAAGCAGAGGCAGACCAAGAGAAATTATGGCAGATGTCATAAGACAGCGTCATGAAGGAATATCATCAGTTGAATTGATCCAGATCTCTGGCGACGAATGAACGCCTACGCCAGCTGGCAAGGCACTTGGTGATGATGATACTAAGATTCCTTTTTTTTTAAATATTAGCTATAATAGCCGCAACTGTGTAGCGGCTAGACTCTCCGTCTGGTTGCCCTAAAGTCGTGTCTTCAAATTCGCATCGAGTTGGGTTTTAAAAGACATTTGGCTGCCATGTTGACCCAGTACAGGGTAAAGTCATGGGAAGTAAATGCGGTCAGCCTAATGTTTACCGCATAATTCATCGAGGGCTCATTTGTCTACACAAATACGTCTTGCATCATATACCCGAAGGCGGGAAAAGGGTTCTTTAAGACGTTCTTTTAAAAATACAAATGAAAGGACCCTTGTCTTTCTATTTGCACATCTGCAATGTTGTACTAGACTCATAATTCAATAGACTAGTGATTCCCAAACTGTGCACCGCCGGGCTCCGGGGAGCCACGATCTTTTCACAGAGGCGCCGCGAAATATTGCAAAAGCTTCATAATTAATTTAACCAAGACACGAATAGTCAGACTTTTACCTAGGTTAGGGCGCCGCGGAATAGTGCAAAAGCTTCATAATTAATTTAACCAAGACACGAATAGTCAGACTTTTACCTAGGTTAGGGCGCCGCGGAAAAAACTTTAATTGAAAAAAGTCGCCGCGACCAAGACAAGTTTGGGAAACACTTCCATTGACCAATCAACACTAGTTGACCGAGAGTGTTCAACATCAAGACGGCCGTCTTGACTTTCCTGAGCCAAAGTAATTATATACAACTCTGTGTCACAATTAGGATTTAAACCTAAGACGTTCGGATCGCCAGCCAAATGTCTAGCCACTTGTTTAATTTTCGCGAACCTTCGTTGAAGAACACTTGGGTACACTATAGGACGAAAAAGCGATAAGATGATAGATAAAAAGTTAATATAAAATCTAAAACAATTATTATTTACCCAAACGCAACGAGAATAAATGTAATGAGAATTACTTAATTAGTGCACTACTATGTATACAACAACCTTATTATTATTATTATTATTATTATTATTATTATTATTATTATTATTATTATTATTGTTGTTATTATTAGTATAGCTGTATACACAAGGGAGATGAATGCTCACAGGTCAGACCAAGAAGACGATGGAGAGATAATGTCCAGACAGACTTGCAAATACTTATTGTCACCAACTGGAAAGATAAGGCCAACTGGAGAGATGAATGTAGGCAGGTGATATCTGCTGCAATGAAATAATTACAAGGGCTCGAAACGCTGAAGATTATTATTTTTTTGCCAACTCCAAATATAAGATAAAGTGCGTGAGGTTAAGTAACAGGCCCACACATAAAATGTTGAGATGCGCTGTCGTAATACACATAGACCTCTCCCATTTGAGTCGACTCCTTTATGTGCTAAGCAAACTCTGTCGTTCTGGGTTTAGTAAGCAAGCGCAAGGAAATAGATTGGCTACCACTGCTTCCAACATCCGTATTACACACCGACAATTTAAATAACAAAGATTAATATGCAACTGTAACAATTATAAGGAAATAAAACAGACGACCGAGCGCGCCCTGGCTCGGCTGCCGATCGTCTGATGAACTGCGACGAAAAGCCGCATAAGCAGAAATTAACAGAAGAAACAATGGACTCTTTTTGTCTCCTTCAGGTGTATTGGGCATATAGGGCTCTAGGCCTTTAGTTTACAGACCTATCGGAACTCAATGGGTGATGTGATCAACATCACTCTGGCTGCTTTTTTTCCCCATGACCTTTCTTTATACCCATTTAACGTTTGGTCGACCTAAGACCCAAGGTCATTTTGTTTACAGTCTGTCTCCGCAGGTGGCTCCAAAAACAATTATAATTTTTTGAAAAATGGATACCGATTTTAATGAGAAGGATTACCCTAGTACGCTGCTACACGTCTAAAACATCCCTATGTTTATTAACCCCCCCCCCCCCCACCCACCTGCCAACCCAATCTATCTCTGTCTTCGCTCATCCCTCTCTTTCAGCAATATCCAAAGCTACCACGCTTCCTGGTGTAGTCCTGCACTCAGGGGCGGTATCGCCCGTTTTGAGAAACATTGTCCTAATGCATTTCTCACGGCACTTTTAATAGTATAAGATATAATGCTAGTGAAACCAGTAGCAGATAAGGATACAGACAGTAGAGTGTTAAGTCTGTATTACATGTCAGACAACGGCGTTGCTAGGTAGAAAGAAAGGGGGGGGGGGGCGCGCGGATATTGAAATGATTGATATCATAATATAGAAAAACATCTGTATCAGAAAGGATCCTTGGTGCGGGCTACATACAACTTTCGGTTAACATGACTTCTCATGACTACCAACGTCACATGAAATAGATCATAAAAAGATATCGAGCGAAACGAAAAGTGGAACCAGTAACGCCCCCCTCACCTTTCTCCACAGTATCACAAACACACACAAGTAAACGTTACGACTCGATAAACTTTATCAGCACAATCTATATATATATATATTATATATATATATATATATATATATATATATATATATATATATATATATATATATATATATATATATATATATAAATCAATGTTTGTGTGTTTGTTTGCCCCCTATAGACTCGGAAACTACTGAACCGATTTAGCTGAAATTTTCAGGATATGTTTGTTTTGATACCGGATTTTGAACCATCGTGGTTTGAAATTCAACCTGTCACTGTTAGAGATAGGTGACCACAATTTATGCCATAATATTCGCAATTAATATTTATAACTTTAGTGATTTCTAATTATAGCCACGTTAGTAATTGCGCATGCGCCGCCGTAGTCAGAACGCAAGGCTTCCGCCATTCGCCGGCGAGTTTCGTGCAGCCAACGCCTTCTCTAATACATAGAGTAGGTCTAGGTACAGCAAACAAGACTATCTCTATATTTGCCACAATAACCATATTAAACACGATTTCTATTTTCTGTTTTTTTTTTCAAATGAGGGGGGGGGGGGGGGCAATCAAGGACTATCTCGACGTCGGCGCAGACATTGACTGCGACATTACCTTCATTAACCGTGTTAGATACGTGCGATTTTTATTGTTGTGCCGTTTCATTAATATATCTGGAGTATCTGTCTACGAGAAAACAATTGCCTGCGGTTTTGAATTGTGTTTTAATCAGGACACAGAAGTAGGGACACACATCTCTATTAGTTAAGTTCTCTTTTCGTTTATCCGATTAAGTGGTTGCTTGGTCGAATGGTTAGAACACTGGGTCCTGTGCGGGAGTGATTTTCAAATATTTTCGAAGAGGGAGAAAGCAGTAGTCGGTGGAAGAGGGGAGTGGAGGGGGTAATGAATTAAATTTGATGAGGGAGAGGGTAGTATGTGGATTTAGTTGTGGGGGGGTTGGGTGGGGTGGGGATCAAAGACTATCTCTATATCTAAGCAGACAATGATTGTATTAGACACGTGCGATTTCTATTTTCTTTCATTTCCATTTAGCCAAACTATGCCACAGCAACGCGTTGCCTCGTACAGCTAGTACATAAATATAAACTACCATAAGTACGAACAAGAAAACACAAAATCACTTACTGATGTATCTTGTATAGAAATTACACTTATGTCTGACTAGAATTGGAAAGACATTGTTCTTCCACTTTTCGCTGACCGGCAAAACAAGAGAAATAGTTTGGATGACCAGCTAACAGCTAATTAAAATAATAATAATAATAATAATAAATGTTAACGGCAGTTTATTTGTTAAATCCGATGTCACAGAATTATAACTTTTAGCTAATGCCACATCTGCTGCTGCTTGGAAGTTAGAAAATCTGCCAAATGTGACAGATGCGGTTTTTCTTAAAATTTGAGGTATGCAATTACACACGTTCGATTTCTCTGTTTCTGCTTTGCAACTAATATGACTGAGAAAGTCTTTCAAACAAACTGGAAGAGGAAAAAATAACTAACGTTGTAGCAGCTACATGTTAAGATAGGAATTCTTGGCGGACAGAACATTTGCGAAAAGCGAAAAGATAATAGATACAAGATTAATATAAAATCTAAAACAATTTTATAACTTAACGTAACCCTTGACCCGTTAGGGCGGTGGAGCTGTTTCGATGGTAGCACTAGCACATAAAACCTGCAATCTTTCTCTGTCTTTCGCTTGATGAATAAGTGTATCATAATTTTTATTTTTATTTGGAGACACAAATTTATTTCTGATCAACTGTCAACGGAAAATTACTTGTCCTTCTCCTCCCCTTCCTTTTTCTTCTTTTCTCTCAATCCAATCAGCTTGGCGTTGATCCGTGCCTGTCGAAGGGAAACAAAAGCGTTGTGGTTACGCTCATCATCAGTAGGTACACGTGCCTTCTGGGGTTTGAACGTGATCTCTAGTGGCAGCACTGTAGGTCCAGTCAGCTGTTTGGCCACCTTTAATTCTTCAGTTGAAGCATCTACCTTGCCAGGTTTGCCCTCCTTGCGTGGAAAGATAATCAGCTTGGTCTTGTACTCCTTCAGTCGCTGTACGTCCTGCTGAAGGGACTCAATAGACATGCTTCGTCTGCGGTAATCCACGGAGATGATAATGTTGCTTGTTACTTTTTTGTTGACACCTGCAGCCTTCAACTCATCCAGTGTGAATCCACGTCCAAGCCTGATTTTAGTGTTGTACTTAAAGGTAGAACATCTGACAATGGGCCTCACGAGACCACCAACTGGTCGTGGTGCCATCGCTGCAGCTTTCTTGGCACGAGCTTCTTTCTCATGTTCTGGTTAAACCATGTTTTGACCATGCGTTGCCAATCCTTGTGGAAATGGCCATTTGCAATAATGTTGTTTCTTTTAGGAGCCATGGCTCTTCTCAACTCTTAAACCGAAAAAAAGGCAAAAAAAAAAAAAAAAAATGTATCATAACTTGTTTCCGTCCATTTCTTGATGGTTTCAATCCAGCTCTCTTTTTTGCCCTGCTCCTCTTCGACTATCCTCAATGTTCATTGAAGTACCGTCTTTGCAGTCGAATCATGTCTCACCACGCGAACCAATGTAGCTTGCGACGTTTCACCACTGCCAAGAGAGGTCTTTGATGTCCTGCACATTTAATATTTCGTCTCTGAAATATTTGTTAGTTTTGTGATATGAATAAATAATAAATAAAATGCGTCCGTAGCACTAAAACAATTATAATTTAATAAAGCGTTAAAAGAAAAAAAAAGCTAGATGAGATCAACGAAATTAATCTACTGCTGCCTACAACATTCTTTTTTAAGTCAACTCCAACTATTAAGATGAAGTTCGTGAGATTAAGGAACAGGGTCATATTTAACTTCTTTTTCTTCTTCTTTTGTCAAAATCTGCTTGTGCCGCTAGGCGTCGCAGTCTATCAGATGATCGGCAACCGAGCCACGGCGCGCTCAGTCGCTTCATATGCCGTGATGTTATGAAGTCTCAAGTTGTCCGTGACTCCTTCAATCCATCTTCTTCTTGGTCTTCCCCTGCTTCTTTGTGTTTCGATTTTCAGTCAAATTTAACAGTTTTGAGATTCCCTGTCCTAATGCCATTTCAACCGAGTCCTTTATGTAGTTAGCAAACTGTTTCGTTCTGGGTATAGTAGGCGAACTTCAGGGTATCAACTGCCCTTTGTTGGTTCTGATCTCTGCCGTAGTGTGTTCCCGAATTTCTTAAGGTTTTGGTTGGAACGGACGAACAATCAGATTTAGTTAGTTAGTCTTTCGTCTCAGCTTAGGGAGGCGCATAGGGCAAAGGTCATGGCTGTCCATGTCTGGCGGTTCGTTGCCTGCCACCTGTTTTAGGTCTTGAATGTTCATAAGGCCCATGGTTAAACCTTCTCTGATGATGGTTCAACGCAGTCTCTCTTGGTCTTCCCCGTTTTCTTATCCCTTCCGATGTCCTTCTGAGGGCTTTTTGTGGGAGTCCGGTCTTATCCATTCTAGTGCATGGCTGATATAGTTCTAGCTGCGCTTTCTTATAAAATTTTATCCTTTATCTGCTTGGCGTCTTATTTCCGTACTGGACTAAATATGTCCAGTGGAGATTTAGTATTCTTCTAAGACATTTATTCCCAAAATTGTTTTTAAAAAATATCTAGAGCTACTATTATTTTCCAACTCTCGCCATTATAATTTATCACTGGAATCGCAAACGAGTTGAAGATCTTAAGTTTTATGTTTGCTGAATATCTTTGACTTAAAGTTTGTTGAAGGCACTAGATGCCAGTGTGCCTATAGATAAACCAGATTTAGCTTAATTTAAAAAAACAACAACAAGAAAACATTAGAGGGAAGCTAATTACACAGATGCTTTCTCATTTAAAAAAAAAAGTACCTGCTGTTTTAAAACTCCATCACAATAACTTAAAGTACTAAACGTCTGTTATAAACATGAGCATAAATGAGAAATGTAACATTTCACAGATAACGACATATTCTTACACGTTTTTATACTTGCCCTGTTACTGTGATTTTATACTTTACCATACTGCAGATTAATATTTTGAATAATGTCTTGTGTTTTTATAGTATTGAGATTTGATTTTATTCTATTTTTTTTTTTGGGGGGGGGGGGGGGGGGGGGGGGGGGGGGGGGGGGGGGGGGGTGGGTTGGGGGGGTGGGGGGGGGGGGGGGGTGGGGGGGGGGGGTGGGGGGGGGGGGTGGGGGGGGGGGGGGGGGTGGGGGGGGGGGGGGGGGGGGGGGGGGGGGTCACCAGCTCTCATGATTAGCTCGGCATCTGTGTTGTGGGAATTGCTAAAACGCTTCGTAATTCCCTGTTCTCAACTGTGGATGATTTGGCAACTGACCGCCTTGCGTAGATTTCAACAGTGGTTTTGAGAGCTAATCACGCAGTCAGCAATGGCAAAACCAGGTGTCTGTTTAATATTAAAACAACAATTTAAAACAAGGAGGGGATTATTAACATGTTGCATTGTAAATTTCAGCAACTTACTCCGAACTGTTACTAAGTTACAACTTTTTAAATTTGGATACGACTTCTGGAATAGACTATAGTCGTATATTAGATCATTTAGTTTTGCTGTGGCACAGTGAATAGACTCCTGCTGGTCGGAGCGAAAGTCTTGCATTAATACTGCTGATCTTGAAAAGTGGCATAGCCTCCGATGTCAGTCTAGTCTAGAACTGGAACCATAGAATGTGAGGGGAAAAAAAAAATCTTTCACGTTATGTTCGACACTCCAGTGGCGTTAAAAGGGTCCTTTAGTTACTTTTGCTAGCGAGGACAACAGAACTTTAGATGTGGAAATAGACATAACACATTAGTTCCCTCTTAACTCGTTCGGTTGTATACAGTTTTATATGAAAGTCTTTTTTTTTTTTTTTTAATTACACATTGCCAAGAAAACGCTAACCAACTGCTGTTCTGGTCTCGAGGCATAGTGTCCGCCTAGACGGCTAGAGGTTCCGGGTTCAATCCCCAGAAAGGGCTTGGATTTTTTCACGTGGACTTGGATTCTAGTAATTCCCCCTGGTCTCTTGTCATTGTTGCGCACGTTAAAAATTCTATTGGCAGCTGGGAATCGACAAGAGTAGCCTAACGGCGCTGCCCGGGCAACATTTGGAAATTTACCCAAAGTATTTCAGGATCTTCGCCTGTGCTACAGAGCTTGTGCACTGTGCTGAACTTCTTTGGATTCAGACTTGAGTTAAAAGAAGAACAGAGCACTTATGGGTTACACCCGTGTGCTATGATGTTGATCCGTTGTTCAAAACCTTTAAAAACCTGTGCTGTATGAATGACAAATAAATGAAAGATAAACCCGTGGATACCTGCTATAGTACGCACTGACTTAATCTTAAATAAAAAAAAAAAAAAAACCTCTGTGATCTTTGAGATATTGAGCGGAATAGTATTTAATGTATTGTTTGAAACCGAATTAAATTTGGACTACTTTATCGAGTTTTCTGAACTGAACTGAATTTCTACCCCACCAGGACATCACACAAGCGATAAACACCCGATGACACAAAGTGCCACCATGTGGATAAGGATCGCCGTGGAGAGGTCCCAGAAACCGCGTTCAGACATTTGGCCATATATATGGCCTGCCTATATTGCGGCCCCTGGCAAAAGCCAGAGTAGGGCTTCCAATGACAAAAAATTTCGTCCTAAAAAGGACGAAATTGGATTCATTATACCTATCGAGTTTTCTTTTCTTTTCAGCAATTATGATTACTTTTTTCCCTATTGTCGAAATTTTCGTTTGTAACTACGCGCATGTTTTCTTCTTCTTCCCGTCTCCGTTGGGCTTCATAGTCGTACTCTGAATTCCTTTTCTCTTTTTGCACCCTTCCCATCCCCCTTTTCCCGGGAAGCTGATTATTTTACAAACATAGAATTTTGGGAGGGAGACTGGCTGAATGAATAGCTCTTAGATTTTGGAAAAGAGGCACTTAAACCAGTCACCTCTCTATTTCAATAGGTCTGACTACATAGTCTAAAACTAATATCTCTGTCACTGCCATAACATCTTGCTACTGTGATCAGATTCTCTTTTGAAAAAATCCTTTATTCCTTGTTTAGGTCTTCTGAGCTCAAATGGTTCAGCATGCCTTTATCTAAAAGTACCTTACTTTTAACTTTAAAAATTTTTAAAAATATTTTATTGTATTATCTTTTGTGAAATTTTTATTATTACTGTCTAGTTTTACTTATTATTTTATAAGTACTTTATTATTTTTACTATTATTATCACTTGGCGTTATTGTTACTAGTGTTTCGTCTACTAGCACTATCATTACTCCTATTGCTATTTTTATTTTTTGATCACTAGTATTGTTACTACTAATATTAGTTTTTTTTTTAAATAGGAGTGTGCATCATATATATATATATATATATATATATATATATATATATATATATATATATATCTTGTACACTACGAAGGCATCACTCAAGTGATAAACACCCGGTGACACAAAGTGCCAATATGCAGATGAGGATCGCACTTGGAAAGGTCCCAGAAACCCCTTTCAGCCGTTAAGCCATATTTATGGCCGGCTATATTCAGGGCCACCGGCAAAAGCCAGAGTGGGACTTTATATGGCTTTTGGTCTGACATACTGCACAGCTGGCATCGCTTCAGTGATTCCCTTAGTGTGCTTGCAGTATTCTTTCATCTAAATTACTGCATAGTTCTCATCGCTTCAGTGACTCTATTATTTTGCTTACAAGGTATTTTCAGATATGTGAATCTACAGATCGGAGTCATACCTACTCTGTCTGCAAGGTCTTTTGGGAGACTATGTGTAAATCAGCTCTAACATGGAACGCAATTTTTCGTTATAAGCCCCACTCCGGCATTTGTTGGGGACCCTAATATAACCTAACGGTTGAACGGGGTTTTTGGTTCTTGCGCCCGTGTGATTCTCATCAGAATGGTGACACTTTGTGTCGCAATGTGTTCATAGCTTGTTCTGGGTTGTTGGTGGGGGCTGAATACCATTCATTTACTCTGTATTTGTCTTGTCACAATTACTGTCTGCCTGTACCACTTTTAGGGCGATGTAGCACGGGGATTGTCTAAACCATCGTAACTGTGATGGATCCACTCGAGTTTGTAAGGCCTGGGTTTCCTAATCCTCTCGTATTGTCTGATTACGAAGAGATCACGTCTTTTTTTTAACTTCACTTTTTTTTCCCTGCTATGCTTCTTTGGGTTACAGTGTAAAGCTGTTTTATATCGACTGCTCTCGGACTTTCTCAACCTGTGCCATGTGCATACTACAGAGTCCTTTCCCTACCTCTGAAGGATGTACTGTCTGAAAAATCTGCCGACTGTCAATGATTGATATCTGTGTTGATTACATCATAATTAAAATAACATAAACTATATCGCTTTAATGGGCAGGGATAGGTTACATAAAACGGCGTTTAATAATTTCAGTACGAAAACAACACAGAAAACGTTTCGCAGCATTTCCAAAGATAAAATAATATTCTTGTTGCTTTATATTTAAGACAGTTGCTAGGTCAACCCTTTGTAATTGCGGGTAGAAGAAGCTCAAGTAATCACTTTTTGAGACTGGAAGAGCTAGTTAGTTACTTAGTTATTCGTTACGGTTCCGGCATCACAGTAAACAAGCTTGGCCAATAATTCTCAACCGCCTATGCCAGTGATTCCAGTCATAAACAGTCAAATACGCTGGATACTTCAAGCGAATGCCGTAGCCATACAAAGTGTCCTCAGTCAGCAAAACACACACAATTTGATCTGGCAAACCACAAGGTTCATGCCTCCTTAAACACATTGCGAGAGCAGGCGTCATCGCTGAAAATCATCTTCATTCGACGAATACCTGTGCGATGAGTAGATTAAAACTATTCCTAATCATTCTTCACTTGTCCTCGGCAAGGTTGCAGCCATGGCCTGCAAATAAATAGCAGCTATAGCACACGCCTTGTTCCAGGAACATAACGAATAAAAATACATCACCCATCATTGCCATTATTTACGAATCTGAAACTCAATCAATAACCGATAATCACAGCTCATAGTGCCGTCAGGAGCACTGAACTCAGTAGCTCCGGCTTCAGTGCGGACTTCACAGTCTTGCAACATCGAAACTGGAGGAGAAACGGCAGCGAAAACGGTTAACATAAGCCAAGGTCTTAACCGTCATCTATTCCCTATTTATGTTGGAACCGGAAGTCCAGACTGAAAGAGTTTAACGATAAAATGTTGTAATTAGTGTCCACAGATATTTGACACTGACAGAGATTGATGGTGTTTAACAAAGAAATGATGTAATGATGTCTACAGACACATGACCGTGATCAAGACTGAAAATGTTTAACGATGAAATGTTGTTATTGATGTCCACAGACACATGAACATGTTTGAGACTGAAAGTGTTTAACGATGAAATGTTGTAACTGATGTCCACAGACACATGACCATGATCGAGACTGAAAATGTTTAACGATGAAATATTGTAATTGATGTCCACAGACACATGACCATGATCGAGACTGAAAGTGTTTAACAAAGAAATGTAATTGATGTCCACAGACACATGAACATGTTTGAGACTGAAAGTGTTTAACGATGAAATATTGTAACTGATGTCCACATACACATGACCATGTTTGAGACTGAAAGTGTTTAACGATGAAATGTTGTAACTGATGTCCACAGACACATGAACATGTTTGAGACTGAAAGTGTTTAACGATGAAATGTTGTAACTGATGTCCACAGACACATGAACATGTTTGAGACTGAAAATGTTTAACGATGAAATGTTGTAACTGATGTCCACAGACACATGACCATGATCGAGACTGAAAATGTTTAACGATGAAATATTGTAATTGATGTCCACAGACACATGACCATGATCGAGACTGAAAGTGTTTAACAAAGAAATGTAATTGATGTCCACAGACACATGAACATGTTTGAGACTGAAAGTGTTTAACGATGAAATATTGTAACTGATGTCCACAGACACATGACCATGTTTGAGACTGAAAGTGTTTAACGATGAAATGTTGTAACTGATGTCCACAGACACATGAACATGTTTGAGACTGAAAGTGTTTAACGATGAAATGTTGTAACTGATGTCCACAGACACATGACCATGATCGAGACTGAAAATGTTTAACGATGAATATTGTAATTGATGTCCACAGACACATGACCATGATCGAGACTGAAAGTGTTTAACAAAGAAATGTAATTGATGTCCACAGACACATGA